TATTTGTGTCGAATTTGGTTGACGAAGCCAGTTTTCTTTCTGATGCAAGAAGCTGATACGTACCCGTGCATACATTCAAGACTACAAACGATATTTTCAAACACTCTCTTTATATACTTTAGCCTTTGTAAGGTGTAAGCCTGAGATCCATTAGTACTGTATATGTATGTAACTATTATTGTCAGTATAGTGAGAAGAAGCTCAAGCGTCATTTGCGTGATGTTGGTCTCATTCCGCAGCTGAAGTATCAAGCACGACACAATTTAGCTGGGTGATTATCATAAACACTCTAAGTCTTCTTAACTTTATGATAAAAGAAAGTGATCCGACGATGACCGCAATCGAGAACATTTGAGAAGTTTATATCCAGTAATTTTTGCCAAAGTAATTTGTATTTAGTTAGAGCTGAATAAGATGCTTAATGTATCCGTGTCACTATCTACAAGTAAAAAAATCCTAAGTGATGCACCTAGTGAGACTGGCGGCTCACATGTCTTACACATCTCTCCTTTACAAAATGTTATCACACCCGTCCGTACCAGTACTAGCCATGATACTTTGTCGCGGTACTCTATTAATCTTTCTGAGTGTTTCTTTAATTGTAGGTGACAATGGTGTAATGTGTAACACACCATAATACGGTCCAATTGCAGACTTCGTAGTTGACTTGACCATCACTCACACTTTCGACTACGTACCACCGGGGCGGGTAGTACCATAGTAATAATATAAGTGAAAACACCTCGAGGTGGTCTAGCAATCTACTTATTTTAATAGTTGAAGTAGCACGTATTATTCAAACTTTATTTTTAGCAAGTATATTAAAACGTTAGCAGGTAAGAACTAAGAAGAAATCTTACTTTTGTTGTCAGCTGACCACAACGTTTCCAGCTCTTTACAAATACTCAAATTGAAAGAGAAATCTTTTCCTCTTTCGGCTTTGATTATTCCCGGGACTTGATCTTTGTAAATTTTGAATATTGAACTGGCTATCAAACCAGTAGCGTCTTTTCTTTGCCGAAATTGCATGTCAGAAACCCAAACTTTCACCAAAGGATCATCGAAGGAGAACTCTTTCAATTTGAAATTAGCGAGTACTTCGGCGGCACCCTTTTCAGCCCATTGAGTCAGAACCTCAAACCGCACCATTCTCGGAAGAGATGATGAGTCACCATCGTGAGCAGCTAAACGGGTACAAAACCGTACAATATCTGTGTCATGAATGTTAGCTTCTCGCAGTATGGACAACAACTCTTTGTAGCCAGCCTTGGAATCCAAGGCTTTAAACCAGGTTTCGAGATAAGAGTCGTCAACGGTCAAACTCTTTTCAATCTGATTCTTCAACATAATCGATAGTTGGTAATGTACCAAATCTTCCATTATTTTCATATATGAAAAGTGAGGTTTTTGGTGAACCACTTCAAATATTTGTTTGTCTGTGATCCCTTGCATCTTTAACCTTCGGTATAATACGCTGAACGCACGCTTCTTGTCTTTGGCAGATTCGGTATCGTACCAAATCCTTACATTCCA